GGGGGGAGAGAAGGTGGCCCGCAGAGGTCCCCACCCTGCTGAGAAGACAGGCACGTCGACCAGAAAGACAGGCAGGGCTTCTAGCCATTGGAGTCTGCCAGCCTCCACTGGCCAAGGCCTACCTCCAGCTGATGCCCTCTAGGGTGGCAACGTCTGCGGGATCAAGGAAGGTGGGCATGGAGTGGTACAGCTGGCAGAGGTGCTCGGTGATCACAAGGCAGCAGGGGCTGCTCTGTACTAGGTAGGTGGCAGCTGCCGGGGAGGCCACACTTAGCAGGAGCAACAGGTTCTCCTGGGCCTTCAAGGCCACTCGGCTTTTCTGGGGGGAGGATGACATCAGGGGCATGCACCCGATGCCCAGACCACCCCCCCACAGTTCACCCGGTCCCTTCCCGCTGCCCCAGCCCGCTCCATCATGCCATCACTGAAGCCAGCACCTTGCTCTTGCACAGCCCGGCCAGGGAGGTAATCAGGTTGCTCTCTCCAATCCCACCGTCTGGCTCCTCGGCCTCCTTGGGCTGTGGGGGGTGTGCAGCCCCGGCCCTCGCCTCCCCCGGCTCCCTGTTAGGAGCGGCCTCGTGGCTGGCTGTCTCTTTAGGCGGGGGGACGGGGTATCTGGGTGCCTTCTTATTAGCGATCATCTTTTTACCCTGAAGAGAAGGTCGGGGAAGGTCAGATCAGGCCAGGTTAGGCCCCAAGGCCCCCTTCAGAACTGAGGACACACTGGAGGTCAGGGCCCCAGCACTGAGAGGGAGGGAAACTGCTTGAGGACCTCCCCCTTGACGACCTGCGCTCTCTGTGTTCACTCAGTTGGCCAGAGTGGGGGCTCGCCCTCCTACTCCTGTTCCCCATAGAGGTACTCACTTCCAGGATATAGGTGAGCAGGGCTGGGTCCTGCTGGATCTTGGAGCAGAGGACGGTGGTGAACTGAACCTCTTCCTTTTCTGTAAGGGACCCAGGGACGGTCCCACCCAGCCGGAGAAGTTTCTGGAAGAGAAGCAGGGCAGAAAAAGGAGGGCATGGGGTGGCCATTTGTCTCCAGTCCTCACCCGAGGGCCCCCCCCTTGGCTTCTTGGCCTCTCACCTGCACGGGCCTGTGGACGTTGAGGTAATGCAGGAGGGGGTGCTGCACCTGGGCCAGAACTTTGCTGAAGAATTGGAACACTTGTTGCCGCATGCCGGGGGGGTACTGAGGGCCAGAGGACAGAGCGCTGCTCAGAAGTGGAAGCTCTGTCCACAGAGCTTGCGTTCGCGAGAGGCACCTGGCTCTTTCCTGCCCACAGGTCACTGCTCCATGGGCACTCTATCCTCCCACGCTGCGGGATTTGAAATCACCCTTCAAGCACTGTACTACACTACACAGTACACTTCACTGCACTACAGACACACACACATACACTACACCACACTGCACACTACACTACACACACCACACCACACTACACACACACATACGCTGCACCACACTGCACACTACACTACACACCACACTACACTACACACACACATAAGTTGCACCACACTGCACACTACACTACACACACCACTACACTGCACACTACACTACACACACACATACACTGCACCACACTGCACACTACACTACACACACCACTGCACTACACACACACACACACACACACACACACACACACACACACACACACACACGCCTTCTCTCCCTGGGACTGTCTGGCAGTGGCAAACAGCTGTGTGACTTCATGAGCTTCTCCCACCTCTGTCTGTTAGCACTTAAGCTCCGTGGGAGCGGGAGTTCCCATCCATTTCAATCACTACCTGTAGCCCCAGCATCTAGAACAGCACCTGGCACAGGGCTGGAGCCCAGGACATGTTTGTTGACTGAATGCTGACACTGAGAAGCTGCCCAAGTAAATAAACAAGGGCCATAGTCCCTGGGGTGAATGGAATGTTCTAAAACAGCTGCAGACCCCTTTCTGTTAGCTCCCCCGCCCTCAGGTCGAGACTGGGAGGGATGCAGCAGAGACACTAGGGGCCGGCGGTTTGCACGCTCAGCTTGCAGCTGGAGGCTCCCTTGGAGGCACTCCGGGCCTGGTCCTTAGCCCCTGCCCACCTCGGCCTTGCCCAGCGTGCACAGGGTCTCCAGGATCTTGTGCTGCAGCAGGTACTCCAGGCAAGGCCCGGCCTCACCAGCGGCCGCCTGCTGCTTCTCCTCGTACACCAGGATGTCCAGCATCTGCTTCAGCCGCCAGGGAATGTCTGTTTTCTTGACCGGGGTGTTCTCATCTGAACGGAGATTTGGGAAACAGGGATAAGTGGGATGAAGAGGGACCCCGCTCCTGAGAAGACCTGCCTCACTCCTGCCTTGGCAGAGAAGAGAGAAGCTGGGGGTGGGGGACGGGCCAAACCCCAGAGGGGCTCAGAGGGCTGAGGGCCACCTGGAGCAGACCTACCTGCTGAGGAGACCCAGCCTGCTTCGAACCAGGCCCAGAAGAAATAGGAGTTTGTAGTTAATGCCTCTGCCCTTTGGATGTGGCCAGATCTAGCCCTTAGACTTAGAGGGAAGGTATGCATGCCCCCTGTGACTGGCTGTGACCCCACAGGACATGTCGCTAGAGTGGCCTGTCAGCTTTGGGCCAGAGTTAGAAGCCAGGTGCCTAGGGTCTCTGTTGCCTAACTTAGAAGCTATAGTCTCTTCCTGAGAAATTATCTCCTGCGACCAGTTTGTGTTCCTTGTACACTCAGGGAAACCAAAACTCTGGTTTTACCAAGCAGAAAAATGTGTGTCCTACCCGCCGTTCATGTTGCCATGGGCCTGAGAGCAGCAGCGAGCTAGCTAGTAAGCCTTTGTCAGTCACCCATTTCAGTAGGCTCAGGGGAGAGAGAGAACTAAGAACAACAAAAACCAAACTCACTACCATCTGGGTGATTCCAACTCATAGAGACCCTTCCAGGACAAGGCTTCTTTACTAGAGCAGAAAGCCTCCTCTTTCTCCTGCAGAGTCTCTGGCTGGTGGATTCAAACCCCTAACCTTGTGGTTGGCAGCCCAACACATAAACCCCTGCACCGCCACCCAATACCTTATCTCAGTGGATAGCCAACCCAAACCAAACACACTGCTGTTGAGGTGATGCTGAGTTCATAGCAACCCTGTAGGGCAGGGTAGACCGGCCCCTGTGGGTTTCCAAAACTGTGACTCTTTACAGGGGTAGAAGGCCCATCTTTCCCCCACCGAGTGGCGGGTGGCTGTAAACTGCTGACCTTGCGATTAGCAGACAAACACAGAACTCACTACGCCTCAGGCCTCGTTCATTACTGCGGGATTGGCCTTGGAGCGCCCCCTAGCTTCCATTTAAGGTATAGGCTCTCTGAGCAAGCCAGCCGGCCTCACCCACTGCCAGCTCGAGCTCTCCACTCCTCTAGCGGCTGTTCTGGAGGAAGCCGGGCCCAGAAGGGGCTAAGTCAGGCTGGCTCTGCCGGGGCTCTCCCAAGAGATCATCCCAGTGAGTCCTTCCAGTCTGCGTGCAGTGGTTCTCAACATGGGTGGGCTCTCCCCTCAGGCAGCAGCTAGCAAAGCCTGGCAATGTCTCCGGTTGTCACCTGACGGGGACACTCCTGGCATCCTTGGTAGGGGTCAGAGCCACTACCGAACACCCTGCAGGGCACAGGAGAGTCCCCACCACAGAGAGAGACCCACCTCAAAATGTCTGTGCTGAGGGCAGGGGCCCTTTGAGGGCCCCTCTTTAAAGCGTCCAGCAATGACTTTCTAAAATTCCTGAGCTGGGTGAGGTGACAAGAAAAGCTTCAGAAAAGATGTGGGCTGGAAGCAAACCTTGGTCTGGATTCCAGGAGGTGGAAAGCCCAGGATGCAGGATGAGACTCTGTGGTATCTAGTCTGGCCACTTTGGTCTGACCCACTCAATAGCCATCCTAAAAGGTGACCCAAGACTTTGGCTTACTGGGGTGTCGGCTTGGGAAGACTGACATGCCATATACCTTGGTTTTTATTCTCCTCCTGCCCTGAAAGAGTTACAGTCTTGGAAACGTACAGGGGCAATTCTACCTTGTCCTATGTTGCTGTTAGGGACATGAGTCAGTTCCGACCCATAGCGACCCTGTGCGCAGCAGAGGAAACACTGCCGTGCCCCCCACAATCATTCTCACACCTGAGCCCATTGTTGTAGCCTTCCTCTTTTTCACTGCCCGGGCATCCACTTTATCAAGCATGATGTCCTCCTCTAGAGACTGGCCTCCCCTGTCAATATGTCCCAAAGTATGTAGGACTGAGTCTTGCCATCCTTGCCTCTAAGGAGCACTCTGGTGGGTACTTCGTCCAAGACAGGTCAGTTTGTCCTTTTGGCAGTCCATGGTACTGTCAATGTTCTTCCCCAGCCCCACAATTCAATGCAGCAACTCTTCTTCGGTCTTCCTTACGTGATGTCCAACTGTCACATGCATGTGAGGAAGAACACCATGGCTTGGGCCAGGCGCATCTTAGTCCTCAAAGTAACATCCTTGCTTTTCAATACTCTAAAGAACTCTTGTGCAGCAGATTTGCTTAATGCAACACATCTTTTCATCTCTTTTTAAATATATTTTTATTAATTGGGATTTAATACATGTATCATATTATTCCATAGTTTAATGACATCCAGAATTGTACAACTGCTACCACAACCAGTTTCCAAACATTCTTTTTCTACATGGACTCCTTGACATCATCTCCCCTGCACCCCACCTCTTTTGATCTTTTGGCTGCTGCCTCCATGAGCATCGATTGTGGATCCAAGCAAGACAATCCTTGACACCTTCAACCTTTCTCCCATTTATGTTACCTGTTGATCCAATTGTGAGAATTTTGGTCTTCTTTACACTGAATTGCAATCTATACTGAAGGCTCCAATCCTTGGTCTTCATCAGCAAGTCCTCCTCCCTTTGAGCAAGCAAGACTGTGCCACCTGTATATTGTGGGCTGTGAATAAGCCTTCCTCTAATACCAATGTCATATTCTTCATATAAGCTAGCTCCTCTGATGATCTGCTCAGCCTACAGATTGAACAAGTACGGTGAGGATACAACCCTGATGTTCACCTCTCCTGGTTTTAAACCATCAGTATGCCCTTGCCCTGTTCCCACAACGGCCTCTTGATCCATGTACAAGTTCCACATGAGCACAATGAAGTGTTCTGGAATTCCCATTCTTCTCAAGGTTATCCATAGTTCATTATGACCCGCACAGTCAAATGCCTTGCCAGTCAATAAAGCAAGTAAACATCTTTCTGGTTTTCTCTGCTTCCAGCCAAGATGCATCTGGCACCAGCAGTGATACCCCTTGTTCCCATCCTCTTCTGAACCAGGCCTGAACCTCGGCCCTCTCCTAAAGGATCACTAGAAGTTGGCATTGACTCGAGGCGGCGAGTTTTGCTTTTCTTTGACTCTGAATCTCACCTTGGGAAATGTCCTCTTAGTTCGCTGAAGGGAGTTCAATAATTCACTGCCTTTCTCTTCTCGTGAGTTACCAGTTTTCAAGCCCACCAACTGCTCCATGGGAGACAGATGGGGCTGTCTGCTCTATATGAAGACCCACAGACTTGAAACCCTGCGGAGGGTGGCTTTGAGCTGGAATGGACTCGATGGCAGTGGACTTGGTTTGGTGCTTCTCTTTCTCATGGGGAGCACTAAACGCATGGGTTCCCTACTCAGTGGGAGCTGGGGTGAGTGCAAAGCCAGCCCAGTGACATGCCCTCCTATAGCTCCTCCCCCTGAAGGCCACCATAGAGCCAGGTGAGTCAGCAGCCGAAGGTGGGGAGCAGAGGCCAAGGCACCAGGCCTGCTTGATTCGGACCAGTCTCCCTGCCTCTATCAGCGCAGCTCCAGTGCCGAGCTCCTGGGCAGTGGTCTCTCTGAGCTTCATGAGGGACTCGGCTTACCTCCTCCTTCCCCTCCCACCAGGCCCCCAGCTGGGGCAGTGGTTCAGGCCCTACCTGTGCTTTCGATGTAGTAGTGAGTGATGCCCTTCCAGTGCTCCACAAAGGCCTCTAGCAGATTAATGCTGGGTTCCCACTGAGGAGAGAGCAGAGACAAGCCATCAGAGACAAGCCATGTGGTGGCCACAGTGGCAAGGCTCACTGCCACTGGCCCTCGGCAGTCCCCGATGGATGGCCCAAGCCCGGCGCCGGGGTCTGGAGGAGGCCCACTGCTCCAAGGTGTTCGAAGGGCAGAGTGACACGTACAAATGGTCTATTTGTCGACCGTCTCCTGGCCCTTCTCCCCTGAAGACACCCCCTTCCTGGAAATGCTGTCTCCCACCTCATGCAAGGAGTTGGCAGTCCCAACCTGGCTGCTATCAACTCAAGTCAGCCCCCAACTCATGGTGACCCCCACGCCCCCACCCCCAGCACCAGAAAAAAACCAAAAACAACATTGCTCCTCCTGGGCTGGAGGGCCAAGGCTATTGGTGGGGAAGCAGATGTGGACACAGACCACTTCTGTCCCATGTGGAACTGGTACAGCGAGGTGGTGGCCAGTTACCATTGAGTCGGTGCTGACTCCTGCCGGCTCTGGGTGTACAGAACCGGCTCCCTAGAGTTTTCTCAGGGCTGAGACCTTGCAGAAGCAGATCACCAGGTCTGTCTTCGGAAGTGCCTCTGGGTGGGTTCAAACTGCCAGCTTTTGGGTTAGCAGCTGCGTTCCTAACCGTCTTGGCCACCCAGGGACTTCACAGTAGAGGTACTTAGAAGACAGCAGGAGAACCCCGGAAAGCAGGCCAAGCAAGCAAAGGGATGGCAAGCGTGCTAGAGACCAGGCTTCCAGGTCCCTCAGCATCAGACAGCCTGAGATCTGTGCTCAGGGCCAGGTCAGGGTGTGCTCGGCTCAGCCAGGTGGGTAATGCTCACAGACTACTAAGAAAGTGCCTCACTTCTAAGGAAGGGGCTTTAACTTTTGTGTCAAACTCAGCCTGTCAACCCCGACTCCTCCCTAGGCTAGCTCTGATCCCGCCTCTCCACTCCACCCAAACCCAAAACCATCGAGTCACTGCCGACTCATAGCAACCTTATAGGACAAGGTAGAACAGCCCCTCAGAGTTTCTGAGGCTGAAAAGAGTCTTTCTCCCTCAGAGAGGCTGATGGTCTCAAACTGCTGACTCTGGGAATCATGGCGCCACTGCCTGTGCTATGGCCACCCCCAAGTGTTTGCTCCCTGTCCATACTCTGGCTGGAGCTGCCCGTGAGTGGATAATAACCACTTTTCCTGAGAACTTCTCCAAAAGAGGGCATTTCTTCACTTTCCTTACAGAGTAAAGGTTAACAGGGGGGAAAGGCATCTTCAGATAGCGTCTAGCCCCATACACTACTTTCTACCTCTCCATCTTTGCTCCCTGGGCAGGGGGAACTTTTAAAAAATTTCTTTAACAGTCCCATGAGCTTCAGCTCAGGTGCACCAGCTCCACAAAGCCACTGCCTCCAGGGTTCTGGCCCCCCACATCTCTTTTGAACTTCATGCTTTATTGCACAACAGAACTGAAAACTGAATCCTTAAGGGACTCCTTCAGCCAAGAACCTCTGCGTGCTGACTATTCACAAGACACTGCTGGATGCCCTAAGTTGCACCACGGCCACTAAAACCCAGTCCTCAAGAAACTCAGCATGGAGAAGAGACTGCCTCTGCTCCAGATAGTTGACTAACTGTCAATAAGACGGTATTGTGAGACCATAGAGTAGGCAGAGCGGAGCGGAGCGTCCCTTCTAACTGGAACAAGCAAGGTCCTACGGAGGAGGCAATGCCTGAATGGCACTTCGAAGAACTGGCCTAGATTTCAGCACAGAAGGAACTCTGCAAAGAGTGTTTGGGGCCAGGATGGTGTGATGAAGGCATGGAGCCTTGAATGCCAGGCTAAGATGTTTCTTTTTTTGCAGGCAGGTCAATGGCACCTGAGCAGTGTTTCAAGTGAAGTCATCCGGCAGTAATGTGTAGGAGAGGGTATAGGAGGAGTGCTTAGAGCTACTGCAATGCAGGTGGTAACCCTAAAACATTCCCCTCTCAGGGTGACCCTGGTATTCTTTAAAATAAGGTCCTAGAACTGTGATCCTAATGAAAGTGGCACCCCCTACTCATTCCACACCTGCCGGTCATGTGGAGGGGCTGCATCTTCTCACGGTCTGTGATTCTCTGAGTGAATGCTGTAGTTTGGTTACGTGCTCCTCCCTTCTACCAGACCTGAGGACAGGCAGGTGTTTTATATCTCTGCCCATCCCTAAAGCCCTCAAACCCATCCTACATTCTGATTCACAGCGACCCTGTAGGTCAGGGTAGTACTGCCCCTGTGAGTTTCTGAGACTGTAACTCTTTACAGGAGTAGAAAGCCTCATCTTTCTCCAGCAGAGCAGCTGGTGATTTAGAACTGCTGACCTTGTGGTTAGCAGCCCAACAGGTAACCACTATGCCATCAAGGCTCCTAAAGCACTCTGCACATAAAAAATCAAAACCAAACTCACTGTCACCGATCAATTCCAACTCATAGTTACGCTGTGGGGCGGAGTAGAACTGTCCCGGGTGGGCAGAAAACTTGTTTTGTCTCCCAAGGATCAGCTGGTGGGTTCAAACCCTCCCTCCACCTTGTGCTTAGCAGCCTAAACCCTGAGCCACTGCACTCACAGTAGATAAGTATCACTATTTACCCAATGTCTCAACAAACTCCCTAAGGCATTCTTTCCATGCTTCCTTATCTTTCCGAAAGCCTTCTCTCAACCAGCACTATAATTATTATCTCTCAATTTCTATGATGGAGTTTCATCTAGCTTCCAAATTTACTTAGAGTCTCCTAAAACCTACCAACACCAAAAATTATACTCACTGCCATGGAGTCAATGCTGACTCATAGGGACCCCTGTGGGTTTCTGAGATGGTAACTGTTTATGGGAGTAGAAAGCCCAGTCTTTCTCCTGCAGAGCTGCTGGTGGGTTTGAACCACTGACCATGCAGATCACAGCCCAATGCATAACCACACCACCAGGACTCCAGTTTTAAAACCTACAGCTGGACTTAAAGCGAATAATAGGTACAACTATAAAGCTAGCTAGCCAACAGAAGTCAGAAGTATGGGGGGTTATTTGCCTGAATCTACCACTCAGTACGAGGAACACAGCAGGTTATGTATTGGGTTACTAACTGCAAGGTTCAAACCCTCCAGCAGCTCCAGAGGAGAAAGATCAGGCTTTCTATTCCCATAAAGAGTTACAGTTTGGGAAGCTCACAAAAGCAGTTCTACCTGGCCCTATAAAAGGCACTGTGAGGTCGGGGGTTTCAATGGAGAGAAAATGTTTTGAGAAACGATGTACAAATGCACTTTACACAATTGATGTGTGTATGGATTGCGATAACAGTTGTATGAGCCCCTAATAAAATGTTAAAAAAAAAAAAAGGCACTGTGAGTTGGCATCGACTTAATGACACTGAGTATTTGAGTTTTATCACTCAGTACTATTACTCCAGACCAGGGGTGGGCAAATTTTTCAGACAGAAGAGTCAATTCTGTCCCTCATGACAACTTAAAAATTAATCAAGTCAGAAATAGAGTTTTACAAATGAAATCACGATGATCTGAATGATGTCCTTTAAGATTTGCTCGGTTTTACTTCAGAGCCACACATAGGTACTGAAAGAGCCGCACAGGACTCAGGAGCCACCGTTTGTCGGCCCATCCAGACCAAAGAAAGTCCAGTTCTTTAAAAGCAGAATTATTCTAAATAAAGGCATGTACATATGTAAATATATTTATATATGAGGATGGGGAAATAGATCTATGTGCATATATTTATAGGTTTAGTATTAAGGTAGCA